CTAGAAAAATATCTTTTCCTTCATCCCTTTTCAATCGTTAAACGTTTTTACGTTTCTAGTCGTACTTCTTTTAACGTCATAGTTTTTCTATTTATTTCATTTCAGAATAAAGAAAAATGGAAGACGTGAACGCTGAGAAAGAATTTTTTAATATGCTCGCCCGAATACCGTCCAGGATTCAAATATTTGTCAGTGCGTTCATTTTAATATTGTTTCTAAGATGCGATATCTTTTTTTTTTTTCTTGTTTATTTCACGAATATACTCTAGTCGAACGATAGAAGATCTTCAAGTCAAGTCAGATGATATTCCCCGCAACCAATTATATCCCCACGATCGGTGGTTTGGATCGACGATTCATGTTTGCTTTTTTTTTTTTTTAACAAACTACGGTCTCACATTTTTGTCGATTATTTATCGTTAGTTTGCAAAAAGAACGCGCGGCCGCCGCCAATTAGTCCGTCGAATCCGCCGCGAACTGGTATCCCGTAACTCGAAAGGCTAGGGATGTAGAAATTTAAGATTTAGATACACATGCCAACAGACCCAACACTATAAACCCACACAAAGGTATATATATACCTAAAATACATGCGACTATAACCGAACCTGTATATTTTTACATATTGAATGTGCAGAAATAAATACTGATGATTAATCGTTGCAAAAGATGTCAAAAGGGGTACAGGAATATGCGTATTTTCTGTTGGTACGTACACATTTACTCAAAATTATACACACAAAAAACGTTGCACACAAAAGTCAATGAAAAAACATACTGAAAAATATCCTGCAGCCTTTTGATGAATCGAAACTGAACAAAAATGAGAGAGAGAGAGAGAGAGAGAGAGAATTAAACGAGTAAAAATTTACCGAGCGTATCGTGAAATCAGTTTTATCGTTGATTTTCGGCGTGACATACAATAATTAAAAGAAACAAGAAGAAATAGAGAAAGCAAAATGAAGACGAAGAAGTTTTTTGTAATGAACGCGCACCTCTAGATTTTCGCTGCTTCGTGTTCTAACAGGAGTTGAAAATCGTTGCGTAATATAATCAAACACCGATACTATTATACAAGTACATTGCGAAGAGTTTTAGTCTCGATCCTGTCACGATTGTCGTATCTGATCCGATATAAATCTGAATGATATTGGGATAGAAACATCCACGCAGAAAATCGTTTAGTTTAAACTACTTCATTCATTTGTTTTCTATGATGTGAGATATCGGTCGAAACGATGATCGCGATTGGAAGGACACAATTTGTATATAATAAAAACTTTAATAGTAAAAAAAAAAAGAAAACCAGAAAATAACTGCGAAGATCTGCACAGGGTGTACGTATACCTATTACATACATACCGGGTGCACACGTAATGTCCTACTTGATGAAAAAGTACTAACATATTATTAGCGCGTGAGATATAATAAGAAATAAGAAAATAATTAACAATTAAGAGAGAGAGAGAGAGAGAGAGAGAGAGAGAGAGAGAGAGAGAGAGAGAGAACAGCATGGAAGATTAAAAAGAAGAGAATGATGAAGAAAACGAAAGGGAGGGAGGAAAGTTGGAAGTGATTGTGTGGCGAATGTAAAAGGACAAGAGGAAGACGAGGAAAGGAAAATATGATGGAAGAGAAGGGAACAGGAGGAGGAAGAATGTTCGCGATACGCGTTGAATGTTTGCGGATAAACCTCGACCTCGGCACTTTTATCTTAGTGAAGATCCTTGCTGGCTAATTAAATGATTAAGTCCATATTTACGCGTAAGCATTTTTCCATGCGATCGAGAATAATTCGTAAGCGTGGGAAGGGTAGGTTGATTTTTTTGAGAGCAAAAACGAACGAGAAAGAGTGTGAGTGAGTGTGAAAGTAAGCAAGTACGAAATAGAGAGAGAAATATGTTATGTAAACTATTAATTACACAAATAAAATACAACAGTATTAAAACCCTAAATATGATAGAAAACCAAAGAAGAAAAAGAAGAAGAAGAAGAATGAGAAGATAATAAAAGTAACAAACACAAAAATGCAGGGCGATATTTCATTAAAATCGGTCGCGATTGTTTGACTGATTATTATTTTTATTATTGTTAGCATTATTACGCTTCGTTCTGTGACTGAGTATACATGCACACATACACATACACACACATACATATATATTATCGCTATTATTATGAAATTATTGTTTCTTCGAAACTCGCGTTGAAGTCCCTTGTGCAATGGAGAGAGTGGCGATTGATAGTAAAAGAATTGGAAAAGAATAAACCGATAGGAGAAAAGCCCTGTGCGCGCGACTACGTGATAATAATCGCGATGGATGGGATGGTAGCCAATCGATGTATGTATGCGCGTTCGAGATTGAAGAAAATGTTAAATGAAAGGAATTTGATACGAGGTGGGAGCGAGAGAGGGGTGTAAGTAAAGGGTGCGACCGAGACAAAAACGGCGGCGCGCGAACGAACGCAGAGATCAAAAGTATAAACTTTAAAATATGGTATAGTAAAGTATCGTTAATGAAAAATTAAATTTAAACAAAATAATAAAATGATAAAAGAGAAAAGGAGAAAGAAAGAATGAAAGAAAGGAAGAAAATAAAAAGAAAAGAAAATAAAAAAGAAAAAAAGAAAAGAAAAGAAAAGAAAAAACGTAAGACAATTTTAAGCGAGGGGTTGAAGAAGAAGAAGAAGAAGAAGAAGAGGGTTTTAGCATATCAGCGTGTCGAACTTTTTAGGGTGGCGGTCAGCACGATGGGCGTGTAAACGACGATCGCGCGCGCGACACGACACGACACACACACACACACACACACAACACGCGTTTAGAAAAAAAAAAAAAAAACAAAAAGAATGAAAGGGAGGAAGGAAGAAAGAATAATAATAAAATTTGCGGACTTATTAAATTGATGTAGTACGTAAATTGCGTTTAGAGAAAGGAATAAGACGTTGGATGATGATGATGGGTCGAAGGGAGTGAAGAAGAAGAAGGAGGAGGAATAGAAAGAGGGTTGGATGCGAAGGTGTTTGGTGGTGGGAAAGTTGGAGGAAGGGGGAAGAGGCGTGAGATGGGAGCATGCGCGTTTCGTGGAAACTTTTCGGCCTTCCTTTCTTCCTTCCTCCCTTTCCCACTCTCCCTTTGTACTATTACTACCTCTCAGCCCTTCTTCGTTGTTCCTCTTTCTCTTTCCCTCGCTTCCTCGATCCCTCAACACGAGGGCGTGCAATTTTATTCGCGGAAAAATATAATCGTCCTGTCTCGTCGTTGTTCCACGGTTACTAGCAAAGACGAGGACGACAACGAGGACGACGACAACAAGGACGACGAGGACAACGACGACGACGACGACGACGACGACGACGACGACTAAGGACAACGACGAGTGATTTAAAAAGAGGAAAAGTTTCCGCGATATGCGATCAACTATGGCGCCGTGGGTTGACCACCAATAGAATTTGAAAGGCCCATTTTCCGAGCACCGAAGTACGTTCCTTCGGGATGTGTTCCTTTTTAAGCGATGCGCCACAATATACGCACACGCAAATATAATTTGTTATCGTAATAATAATATTTGTAATAATGTGAAAAAAAAGGAGAGAGAGAACTTTCCTGTTTTCCTTTATTCCCTTCGATATTAAGCATGTAACTATCGGTAAGAAAAGGAACAAAATTGAGAGGGGATAAAGGGAACATGAATTTTTGTTCGCCGATTGGAATGTCTAAATGTAAAAAGGAAATCAGGAAGCAACTCGTCTCTTCGTGCTTCGTAGTACGGAAAATGTGGCTGATTCTCAAGCGGTTGGCGTCAGGGTTGCGTTAGGTACAAGGTATAATAATGAACATTTGTTATATCCGTAATTATCGAGCGGGATTTTTTTTGTTTGAAATATGTGACAAGATGAAAGTTTAAGCGACGGAAGAGAGCGAGGGAAGAAAAGAAGCTCGAAAGAGAGGACCGGTGGGACCTATTAGCACGACGAACCGGAATTTTGGAAACGAAGACAGCGCGAACGCGAGAAATGCCATTTTTTAATTATTATTTTCATAAGGATCGTGTAATATAATATTAATAATGTAATATCGATATGATGACAAATTAACAGCATCATCGCGAGCTATGATCTCTCACACGATACTCACAGATGCGCAATCATACATGTACACACACACGCAACATATACGCGCGCACACTCACCCACGTACATGCATACACGGTTAAATGTAAAAATAAAAGACACGGAGGCATCACGGTGTACACATGCGCGACGATGATGACGGTTAATATTATTATTATTACAATTATTATTATGGTTATCGATTATGATTATTATTATTATAAAGGAGATAAAAAAAAAGATACTAAAATACATTGCATAAAATTAAAGATAATTAACCCTTACGTTAGGAGGCTGAAAAACGCGTAACAACGTTTGAAGTATAAATAAAGTAAACCCAAAAAAAAAAATAAGAAAATAACCATGATGATAACGCGAAGAAGAAGAAGAAAAAGTGGAAGAAGACGAAGAAAAAAGGAATTTACATTAAGTGAAAAAAATACTATGAAAAATTAAAACATGCATACGTACGTACATACACCAGATACACACACAAAACACGTACACGTGGACACGCGCACCAAGAGATAAAAAAAAATAAGTCTGGGTGACATAAATCAACGTCGTACATTTATACTATATCAAGACTAGGACACGGTGAAATATGTAAAATGTAGAGAATTTTTGAACGTACCTCGTGGGAACCTGCACTTCGTAGATGATCGTGACGAAATCATGATATGAAACTTTGGAACCTAGTGTTTTGTTGTTGTCGTCGTCGTCGTCGTTGTCTCTCGTTCCAAACGAAAGTTTATGAGAAGAGGGTTAAACAAAAATGACGGATAGATATGATGAAATCGTTGTCACGTATCAGCAAACGAAGTAAGGTTCCCCGACGTTCGTATTTTCGCGCCACAGACGTGTTCCCGTATTCGGACATTGTTTGGGTTCGTCTTTTTCGTTTCCGTTCTTTCTTATGTGTAATAAACGCCGAGCCGAATAAAATTCTCTGTACGACGTACCTTATCCCACTTGGAGCTCGCATATACAGACTACATAAAAAGATAAATAAATAAATAAATAACAAAAAAAAAGAAATCTAGCTATTACGGAAATGGCCATTAGCAGAAAGAAAATATACCATTCAGATAGTTTATTATTAAAGAAACGGTAATTATGATAGGTATATTAACGACATTATTTATATTATTACGCATATTATATAAATAATTAATAAAACGAGATACTTTTAACCTTAGGGTTTAAGTATTATTCGCAAATGTGGGGAAGGAGAAGATTTTTGTGGAAAATGGCCGCGTCCGAAGAAAAAGGGAATATTTTAGGGCGCGGCGGCGATACGTGCCATTCTTTCGGAAATGGCATTACCGACGAGAAATAAGAGAAAAAAAAAAATAATAATAATAATTATAATTATAATAAAAAATGATGAAAATAAGAGACAAGAAAAAAGAAAGAAAAATGAACAAAAAAAAAAAGAATAAACCGCCAATTACTTTAACTTCGACAGTACTATTATTTATTTGTATATGCCGAACGATTATGCCGTTTTCAGCGCGACATATTTTGGCGATTCTCTTTGCTGGGTAAAGACTCAAATGGTGGTCGCGTTCCAGGGTTTAAAAAACGAAGAACTAGACGGGGGAAAAATAAAAAGTGAGAAAGGGGGGCAGAGCGAGAGGGAGAGGGAGAGGGAGAGGGAGAGAGAGGGAGCAGGGAGAAGAAAGAAAGAGATAGAGGCAATTAAAAAGTAAAAAAAAATAATAATAATAAATAAACAAAATAAAAAGCAGAAGTTTCTATACTTTTTACGGAGATTGTTATAGTCTAAGCGCACACTGATTAAGGCATTCGTCGCTCGGCAAAGCATAATATAATTATTAATATAAAATTTATAACAGAAATAAAATAAATGAAGTTAATAAATATGTACACTGTATAATAAACATTATTTCCTATTAATAATCATCGACTTTTTATTGGCCTATACTCGTTGCTTCGTTATACTTACTATTAATTACATGACCTACTTATAAATCTAATTTACCCATTCCCAATAATTCATTTACTTTCATTCAAGTTTTATTTTTACTCTTATTTATAATAAATACAAAGCTATAATATGACTAACTGTAAATGTAAATTAAATGATTGTACTCTGGTAACGATAGAAAAAGTATCGAATTTTCTAGATCGAATTGAATTAACCTGTTGTCGATAACATTTGTAGATCGCATTATATTACCGATGGAAAGGAATTATGAAATACTCGACGAGATAAATATTTCATAAGCTTATTAAATTTAGAACGATTGCCGCTCTTTCTATTTCGCTACATGAACATAGAATTATGTAAAGTCTCTAGATCTTTTTCCCTTTCTGCAGATCTCTTCTTTTCCTTCCTATACATTTCATAGTCTTCGTCATCGGTCGGTAATTCGTATCGGCAAAGTGGACACGAGTTGGTCTTCAATGAAAAGTTTCAAATTACTTCAATATCGAGATCACTGTTTCTTCATAACGTTACATACCTTTTCCAACCACGGAATAATGCATTCCTTGTGAAAAGTGTGACGACAGGGTAAAGTTTTGACCAAGTTATTCATTTCAAATTCTTTCAAACAAACAGGACACTGTTTTGATTCATTTGAAGATATTTTGATGTCTTCTAAAGTATTCAGTGCTGCTTTAGATGCAGGTGGTGGCAATCTTTTATCTTGACCAAGCAATTCCCACATACCAAAATCTCTCAACAATCGCGCCATTTGTATTAAATGATTTGGTGCCTCACCATCGCCCAATGGGGTCCAACCCATTTCCTCAAAATAGTCCGACATTTTGTTCAAATGTTTCAATGCTCTAGAGTATTCACCGTGAATTCTTCACTCAAATAACGAAGTGAGTGTGTCTCTATAAAAATCTCTAGTCATACTGACAGTGAGTGTTTCCATTTGTTAGTCCATAGATTTGTATTATATAGACGCGTATCGATGAGAAAACGCTAGAACGAATCGTAGACATATTTTCAATTAAATTTGCAGTACTCGTTGATAACATTTACCAGCGGTTGGTAAGTTATCAATAGCAAATTAATTACTAGTACTTGATGACGTACCAACTGAAAATCTCTTACATAAATACGAAAATATCAATAAAATCATTTTATTAGAAGTATATATTGGATGATATCAAAGCAGCTACATAGATGTTCTCAATCGGGTTTCTTATCATTTCAATGGTTCAATATTTCAAGAACCACTATCAATTCAAGATTAAATTAATACATAGGGGGGACGCAGTACTGGTACTTGTAGAATGCACAGTTCATTAATTGATCAGTCTCTCTTTAATCGAGTAGGACATTGTATAGATTGTTCGATCAATCTATAGAATGCCCAGGTTCTGTACATTGATCGTAACATAAAACATATATAAATTTACACCCCCATAGATCAGAACAGCCATGAAGTGTATTATCGGAAAATGGCTTATCGTTCTTTGGATGTTTTTTTTCTCGCAAACGATCGGAAAAGCAGATAGGAATAATAACGAAATAGACAAATGTAATTTGTCGAATGATTTAAAAAACGAGATTAAAACATATGAACCGATGGTACATAATATTATTAACGAAGCTCTAAATGGAACTTTCAAAGGACGAACGTGGCAAGAGCTAGCAGATTTTGTGGATAATTTTGGACCCAGGTTTACCGGTACGCAGGTATTGGAAGATTCGATCGATTATGTTCTAAATAAGTCGCAATCTTATAAATTGGAAAATGTTCACGGAGAGATTGTTAAAGTTCCTCATTGGGTGAGGTGTGTACCAATTCTAAAAACACTAAGTCAAAATATGCGCACAAATTTATTTTTCATTAATATTTCAACCTAATATTTCAGAGGCTTTGAATCTGCGACGCTTATCCAACCAAGAACGAAAAACATCGCAATCCTAGGATTAGGATACAGCGTTGGTACTCCGAAAGAAGGGATAACAGCTAGTGCCATAATCGTGGATAGTTTTGCAGAACTCGAGAGTAGAGCGAATGAGGTAAAAATAAACGACATCGATGAATTTTATGTTCACTTTGATACTCTTTCTCTCTCTCTCTCTCTTGCTATCATTAAAACATTATCCCTATTAAGCAGTACTTATTACGTTATGCTTTTGTTTCAGGTACCTGGCAAGATTGTCGTATTCAACGAAAAATATGTTACATATGGCGAAACTGTTAAATATCGTTCCTCCGGAGCGTCGAAAGCTGCTCAATTTGGCGCAGTTGCAGTTCTCATCAGATCGGTAACACCGTTTTCGCTATATACACCACATACAGGTATGATGAATTATGCTGAAAACGTCACCAAAATACCAGCGGCTTGTATTACAGCCGAGGATTCCACCCTTTTTAGAAGGATAGCTAATAGAGGTAAACAAATTATATTTGAAATATAATAAATCTGTATGTACAAGAATGCATTGATAAAATTTTATCATCGTACTCTTTCACAGGTAAAAATATAGTAATACGTTTAAAAATGGATGCACGCAATTTGCCAGATAAAGAATCTAGAAATGTTATCGCTGAGATAAGCGGTAGAGACAAACCGAAAGGTGTTGTGGTAGTATCAGGGCATATAGACAGTTGGGATGTGGGTGAAGGCGCAATGGACGATGGAGGTGGTGCTTTTATTTCCTGGAATGCCTTGCAGTTGTTGAAACAACTTAATTATCGACCTCGTAGAACTATCAGGTAATAAGTTCTACTATGAAATTCATTACTCTCAAACTCTATTATTATAATATTGATACTATAGGATGATTATGTGGACTGCTGAAGAAATGGGATTAATTGGAGCAGGCCAATACGTGAAACAGCACAAATCTGAAGAGAAGAATTTGCAGTTCGTTATGGAATCGGATATTGGAACATTTACTCCTTTGGGTATTGAATATACTGGTATACCCTACGTGGGATGTGTTTTGCAAGAAATTTTGAAGTAAGCGATGATTATTTATATCTCATAAAACGAATATTAAATGTGTTTAACGTTTTTCACTATTTTATCTATCGATTAAAGACTAATGTCCCCCTTGGGAGAGATGAACGTGCGCACACCCAATGGTGGACCTGATATTTCCTATTGGATTAAAGCTGGCGTGCCTGGTGGATCTCTTTGGAATAAAAATGATCAATATTTTTATTATCATCATACAAACGCAGATACTATGCTAGTGGAAGATCCAGAAACTCTCGACATGGGCACGGCTTTGTTTGCTGCAGTATCTTACGTTTTAGCTGATATAAGCGTAGATCTACCTCGGCACAAATGACTTGGATTCCTTTCAAAATGAAAAATAGGTAAATAGAAATAAGTACTTTACCTAAGGATATTGATACCAGGTACATACAACGTATCTTTATTCCCAACTTGTAACATTTCTCATATTTACTTGTTCATTTGCATGGATCCGCGCCATGCGTACAAATATAATTTGTTTAGGCCATCCAGCCTAACGATTATAAATTTAACTTTATTTCTAGATGTAGACGAATATAACAAATGCTTGGACAAGACGACTTTCGGTTAGGCTATAATATCGCTCGTTTCTTAAATTGGTCTTTCCGGTCAACGGACAATAAATAATACGTACGATCCCTTTTGTAATCTTTCTAATCTTTATATTGTAATGAAGAAATATATAATGCGTTATCAACTCGGGTATTAACGTTATTCCATACCGAGTTAATAATTGACATATATTCATTTATTTTATATTAGCACTTAAAGCACATCATCCACTCGAAATATTTTCATTTCTAATAAACTCGAGTAACCAAATATTGTGTGTGTGTGTGTGTGTGTGTGTGTATGTTTAATCGTATCGTGTACGTCGTCAGTCTCGTTCGTCGTAATCTCATTATTGTAATGAATACTATCAACGGGAACGAGAAATAATTTGTAAGATTACCACGGCTAAAGAAAACAACATTCATTATTTATATTAACGTATCTTCATCTTGATTAGGGAAAACCATAAGAAGAGAATGTTGAGACATAGTTTTCTCCCCACCACTGCCGTTCATTAAACTATCAGGAGAACTACCATCAAAAGCCATGTAATTGGTAGTAGTGCTACTGGTCGAAGGCATGTCGTTTAAATCTGGTGATGCCAGAGGTGGTTGAGAATGAGCATTGTTAACGCTTTCTAGATGCATACTATAGGATTCGCGATAACCGGATGTGCTCGAAGTATCCTCATCCCAAGAAACGTCCGACACTTGGGGATGAAGATGATGATGGTGATGATAGTGATGATGCTGAAGTTGTAAGGCATGAAATTGTTGTTGATCTAAATTGTTTCCTCTATCACCATCCGATTGCCGAGTAGACAAGCTGCGTCTTGAGCGAATCGAGGAAGAGTCAGAAGGAATGCTGAAGACTGAAGGTTCCATTGCTGGTACTGGCGGTGGTGTCTGGACTGTACCTTGATTTATTGGCATATCCTGTTGTTCTTGTTTCATCTGAGACTTAAGAACAAAAACCATTTGTTATGCATTTAAATAAAGAACACAGCTTAATATATCTTTAGATATTTGGTTTGGCTGAAAAATTGATTAGAAGATGTAAAGGGTACCTCAACGTGAGATCTTCGACTCTTTCTCAATCGGAAGGTCTTCTTGCTTTGGCCCATGGATCGTTGCAATCGAGGCCTGTCTGGACGGGATTCTCCTGAACTGTCTTCGTTCGGACTGTTCGGGCTCAGTTGGCTCATAATAGTCTCCCCTAAGAGACCATTTGTTATCGTTTTATATCGTCATCCCTTATATAAATCTATTCTACGTTCTATCTACTCATGCTGATAATTGAAATACCATGAGATACTTATCGATCTTAGAAATTTATGACACAATCGAGACTATTTTAAAATTGTTAATATAATACATAGCACACTATTTAAGCCTGGTTATATTTCTCATTAACAAGCATGAATTTGATTAGTAAATGTTAATTATATTTGAGTATGTTTCATTTATGTATGATTTTTTTTCATTTGTCCAGGATTAATAAACTTTGTTCATTTAGTTAGTCGTCAGAGAAGAATTGATAGGAAGCGAAAGCACGCGTGTATGTGTGCTAAATGTGTAACAAAGCAATGATTACAGCGAAGAGAATAAATAAGAGGTTGAGTCCAGTTTAATATCCCTAAACTATAATACATGCGAATGAACAGAATTCACAGTTCACTGTATTAAATGAGAATTTGATACGTTTTATATTCTTATTACTTGTAAATTTTATAAGCTATCATTTTGAATAATCAATTGAATTTTGATATCGAAAAATAAAATAATTTAGTATTTTTAATTGTTCGTGCTCTATTATTATTAATCTTTTTTTATATTCTATCATCTACATGCAAATGTATTTACATATTTTACACCCTAATTCTATCACCCTTACGATTAGATTAGATATTAAATTATCATAAATATACCTAAATGTATAATGTATGAATATCGTTAAGTGCAAAGACATACCTTTTTGATTCGACTATCGTCAACAATTGCTTTTGGAAAAATGGTCTATTTATTTGTGACAGACACATAATCAAAAAATCTAGATAATACAATTTACTTGCCTTTGCATTATCGAAATCTTCGTGAGGACGCCGAATCGATCGAGAAGATTTGAATTATCGATTTACGAATACGATACGAAAAATTTCCAGATAAATGGAACCCAAATAGTCAATTGAGTATTAATTAATAATAACAATTAATGGGCCGTATCGCGAATTAATTTCCCGTACGAGTCGCCGTTCTAAAATTAACGTATCAAAAAATAAAGCAGGGATGTGGGATTTACCTGATGAGTTTCTATACTCTACAGAAGATACAAAGCGCAGTTTTGGCGCCTTTTGATGAAGTAATATAGGATGAGGCTTAACATGGTTACGTTCATCGTTAGCAGAAGATGGTTGGGATCTATCTGAAACATGCCACATCGAACATCTAATATGAGGGGGGAGAGAGAGAGAGAGAGAGAGAGAAAGAAAAAGAGAGATGATAAACGAAGGAATGCGATCAACCCTAATCCCCGTTTGGGATTCAACTAATTCAACCATGATGAGAATCCCAATTGATCGTAGTGTGCGTACTATCAATTGTTAATCCTTTCCTCGTACGTGAGCTAAATTTGAATATTAAATTTAGATTCCTGGAATTCTACATTGTTTTTCGTGATTTAGCAACGAAGTAATGTTTCATGACTGATGTTGTGTTTGGGGTAACATAGGATATTCCTAAAAGTAAAATACCTACGGTGTTGCTTCGATCACGATTTATTTTTAAAAAGCATGTTTTCTTTTTCGTGTCGTGTGCTTTTTAAAGATAGCAATAGGGTCGCTTCAAGCAATCAACGAACAAATGTAACTCTTGTCATTAATAAAATGTATTGTAAGCATTCGAGAGTAGAAAAGAGTGAAAAAGAAAGACAAAAAGACAAAGATAGACAGAGAGAGAGAGAGAGAGAGAGAGAGAGAGAGAGAGAGAGAAAGAGAGATAGTTAAGATGCATTACGAATATTTGTCATGAGTACAATGCAAAATATAATTGATGAACGTATGTATTTTTATGTGTGTGTAGAGACCCAATTTTCCTTACAAAGAAGAAATAGAAAGCGCAGTAAGTTCGAAGCAACTACGTAGTAGAAAACGTACTATGCAACGATTAACAGGAGATACCAACTGTTGGACATTACCATTGTCTAAATACTGCTATATAATAAGTTCGGTAAGGTCGAATTTACTATATAAAAATTATGTGTATTAAAGAAAGATAGACAGAGAAAATAGAGAATAAAAAACAGAGTGATAATTTAAAAATTGCTACTGTGAAATGACTTCGTTTAACAATTATCATACAAATTATTGGATTATAGAAAAATTCAATATTTATTTGACAGGTATTTAAATGTTTGCTAAACGAATTCATCCTTTTGTTCAAAAGACACATTTTATTTGCCAAGGGTTGAATTTGATGTGGATTAGGAAAACCTGTATTACGTACAAGTCGTTTCACGGTAAAAATTTGTATAAAAACTTACGATCCTAAATAGTATGTGAAGTTAAAGGATAAGGAAAAAAAGAAAACGAAAAAATAAAAGTACAACGAATTAGGTATATGGATAAAGTTACGAAAAACTGAGAAGCGTGAAGAAGGAGTTACACATTAGCGGGGTATAATTATATATATATATATATATATATATATTATATATAATATATAGATCGTGAATCGTATCAGAATTTATTGATGTAGAGAGAATCAGTCTGCTTACCTTCGTTCCCTAGCTAGCAATGGAAGCAACGCAATGATAAATGTGTCAATCAAACGACCGAACAGAGAGGCCCAAACGAACGAATTTAATTCGAAAGGAACACATTCGACGAGCCTTAGCAACATGAAAACACTCACTCCCTGATATATTTTTTTTCTCGGGTTGAACTCTTTCTCTTTTTTTATGTCTTTAAATTAGTTAGCTTTGTTTGTTCTTTTTTTTTGTTCTTATTTAGAAGGAAAGCCTCGTTGCAAGCCTCGCTGTTAACGGAGTGAAAAGTGAAACGATGCGGGTTGCCATGAAAAAAGTTAAATGCTTCAAAATAACATGGAACCAACTTTGAGCGCAAAAGTAAAAAATTAGAACCGCAGTGTCCTATAGACAATGGCTCGATCCAACTGTGGTAAGAGTCAGTGTGTTTAATCATTATCATATTCTGACTCTTTTCTTTTACGTTAACGACGTAACGGCAAAATATATTTGCTTGCAGAGGCTTGCGGCTGTATTGATAGAATTCAATACCCGACAATATAATAATATGTTAATGTAAATCTCTTTCGAAAAAATGGGATACCTGTTGGTGCTTGTCTTTCGCTGCTAAATTCTCCGATACCGGTCATATCACTTGTCTCGCGTAAAGTTGACGATCCTACGCTTGTGCTCGAAATAGATCCTAATATTAATAACGCAATGTTAAGTAACATTAAAAACAAATGTTTGATTATTGCTATCATCGAGTGATACATACCACGAGCAATATGTGTACCATTTGACGGAACATGACTAGGTGCCGATGTCTTGATAGTACTACTCGAATGACCTGTTTGTAGAGTTGAATGTGGTATCGATTGTGATACAGTAGCTGAATGAGATACTGGAGTTTCAGTCGGAGTCCGATTCATGTGAGTTCGCGAGCCCAAATCTCCTGCTCCTGTTAACAATTCAATCAATAGGGATGGTCTTTGAGTACGAGGTTGACCTTCACTGGCATGCATATCAGCGACACTTCGTTTCGGTTCAGGTTGTAATTCATCTAGAGACATATCAATTGAACAAGATTATTTTACTTCGTTCGAATGATTAAGATCTGTTGAAAATAATTCAAACTACAAACCAAATCGTCGATTTTCTATTTCCTCTTTGAGATCCTTCAGTTCGTGAATGAGGTCTGTCAGAAGAGTTCCCCGAGATTTAGGGACAGTCGTAGAATTACCGTTGATTTTCTCACGTATTATACTATGCATAGTTCTCTCGTGATCGGAAATAGGCGTTTGACCAACCTTGTGAACAATGAATGGCAACATTTGAATATACAAAGCTGTCCGATGAGTAACAACGAATTCAATGAAGTTCCACAAATATATGGACGCCTCATTTCGTTTGTTCAACAAACGCATGGTACGCAAGATCTTTGGCCATTCGATTTTTAATTCAGTTTCAAAGCATATCGTCATAATCTTAAGAGCTATAATTATAAAGCATAGAGAAATGAACGGGTCACATCATCAACTGTATTAAAATGAAATTGTTACATTTTCTAAAAAAGATGTGAACATTTTGGATGATTGTTACCTCACCTAAAAAGGCAACTTGATACAAAGTTAACGATGTTTTAGTTAACGTTTTCGAATCTCTAGCTGCGAAAGTTAGACTACCAGGTCTGGCATCCGCAGTGGTTTTTAAAGTCTGAACAGTTACTGGTGTCGCCTTCGTTGGGGGCCAGAGGGTGTTCAGAACCGCCGTTAATGCAAAACTTATATCCGATTGTCTCAGCTTTGGAACATCTACGAACAAAAAGATTAAATCATTTCAATCGTTTCTACATACGTCTATTGTTTTCAACTTGTCGATTGTCTTACCTTTCCTCCCGGTTCCAACGCGTAAAAATAATGGTATTAATAAATTGAGAAGCATATTTTCTGTTTTCGTCTGATTAGAAAACATGGCTTGACCGTTGCAAACATTTTCCAAAGAGTAGCCCTCACCGAGAGAAATCACGTGTAACGCTATTAGACGTAAAACGGTTGAACAAAAGTATTGTGGCGGTATTTTACTCATTAGCGCAGCCGACGAGGCAGATGTGACATCTTCAGGTGGTGTATCGCCAATAATTAGAGACTGTTAATAAACAATTAACAGTTAATTCTTATAACTAAAATATTATTATTAGTATTGCATTCACTCGTTCAATATACCTGGCATGTACTTAATAAAGTTTTCAAATATTGAAAGTGTGCTATATAGGGACACCTTGCCAGGGTTTCATAAACGCCTTTCAAAAGATCACTGGCTGCAGTCCAATTAATATTTCGTCTGATCGATGCTTTTTTATGGATCTTGCTAAAGGTTTTATCAAGTCGTCGTAAAATAATGGTCAAAGCTGGTCTCATATCATCGTTGGACCATTCGGTGGAAGGTAATATGTCGTTCATGTATCTTCTTAAACCACGGCAACCCATTGTTCCAGCATCGTAAGGGGCAATTTTTAAAAGACTATGAGCAATGTCGGCTAATCGCTATGAACAAACATTAATAATCAGTTGGAACAAAATTATTGCCTCGTGTTCAAAAATCTTGTCTTAAATATTTAATAGTTTTTTCACATACCACGTGACATTTGGAATCAAGTAACTCAATCGTTTTACCATCCTGAGATTTCTTGTTCAATTCCGTCAAACGTATGGTGCAACGTGCAACGAATTCGCCCACCATATTGAGCAAAGTATCGCGCGGTCTCCTGAATTCATTTTTATGAGAACTCTCAGCGTCGTCATCGCGATCGTAAAAATTTCTCACTTTGGAATGTTCGATGTATTTGGTGGGATGTGGATCATCCTCAAAATCAACACCTGGAGAGTAAGGACCTTTACCGTAATTCCTTTGACTGGATCCCTTGTGTTCGGGACTTGACTTTTGTGGTCCATTATAGTACCTGCAAGTAAGAAAGTTACACAATGTTTTTTATACCAGAATACTTATATCAAATATTATACTTACTTCGTTAGAGCCTCTGAATTATTAACCAATGTTTTAACTGCTATAGCCAATTGATTGATTATTTCTTTTTCTGTTTTTCCTTCCTTGTTGTAAGTAGGAGATTGAATTTGTTGGACGTAACATGGCAATATTGCTTCTAGTATTATCTACAAATAAAAAGAATTTTTAATAGATATCGATTGTTCCTTCAAAGAGATTGTATTATACGAGGATTATCTAACCAGCATTTGTTGTCCTCGAATGGAGTCAGCAGAGTAAGCAATGACCATAACACAGAGCGATATGCAATCCAGAACAGTAACCATTTCATTCTCATCATGGTAACAAAAGTCAATAGCTTTCAAAGGCTTTTCTTCCTTCACCAGTTCTCCAATATTTAAAGGATCGGGTGATGGTGTTTCCAAACTCAGTAACAGGTTGAATAAACAAGTCGAAGGTACCTGTGAGATTGATAACCTTTTGTAATTACTTTAATGATTATGTAAAACAAATCGCATTGACAAAATAACAATAATATAAATTACTTTGTGAGCTTCCCCATGAATACTTGTCTCGTCGGTATCCAATATCGTTGACACGCTTCCAAACATTTGAAGAATAAATGGTTTCCTATTCATCAAGTAAAATTGTTTAACCGCATACTCCACCGTTGTGGTAACCAATTTGTTAGCTTGATGAGTCGCGTACAATTGTAACAACGTTGGCATTATCAAGAGATAACCATTGGTTGAAAAGATATTTTTAAAATTATGCGCGGCATTTATATAAGTGGCAATAACGTATCGTAAAATGCAGGAGTCCTCGCTGTGAAGTATAACGGCACCATTCAACACGTTTAAAAATAAATGAATGTCTCCCGAGTAAGCAAAATTTCCAGCCATTGCTTCGAACATCCTGGCTATCAGTCTAACCCACATGAATTTGTGCATCACGTCTAATCCGAGAAGTTCCTGTGCACAAAAAATAATTCGACGATAAAATTACAATTCTTACGATTATTTCATTAGGAGTAAAATTGTTATATTTACTCTTCCTATTTCACCGCCCTTGTAAAGATCCAAGTCCGCTTCCAAGGCTTTTCTAGGAAAGGATGGTAACTTCATGAGTTCTTCGTGTAGAAATACGACTCTCTGTACGACCATGTCAACGTTCTTCAGGATTGCCCACGTCAGCAAAACTTTTCCAATTTCAACGAACTTGTGAACAAGCTCTCGTCGTTGTAGCGCATTAAATGCATCTTCCGGTTTCATGTAAACCAATTGGATCTGCGGATACTGAGATCTTTTAAAAAAGTAATAATCTCGGACGTAAGATGATGGATTGTGTATTTGATCTAGAAAAATGTTTAGACAATCAGAGAAGCCAGAAGAAATCATGAATAGAAGTACAGTTATAATAATACGAAATAGAAAACAAAATCTTTACGTGTTTTATAGTCAACAAGAAAGTATTCTTTGTGCTTAGGTTCCTTGATTCCAAAAAAGTCCAACGATTCCCTTAATATTTGACAAAACTGTGTATCTTCCTGTACCGGAAATTGAGATGGAATTCCAGCAGCGTCAGGATCCTGAGGGCCATGAACAATAATCTTTTTTGCTGAAGGAACGTTTGCTGTTAACAAAATTGATGCATCGCATTGTTCCTTACGAAGAATTTGTTTTAAATCCTTGAACATTATGCCATGTACACTATGAACGACCTAAACATAAAATAATTAATGTTAAGAGAATAGTTCGAGTATGTATTTTTAAATCTATTAACATCAGATAAACGAGGAACGTACCATCCATAAAATAGATAGAGCAGTACCAATTAATTTCTGGCCTTCTTCGTGAGGAGAACGAACGTAAAACATCACATATCCTATAATGTAATTGTATAAAGCAAAGGCTGCTTGCTGTGGTAGTTTTGGGACAAATCTAATTAGGTGTCGTAAAATCTTAAACATTAATTCTTGTTTATCCCTTGTAAGACGTTCCAAAACGTAACGAAGGAAGAGTGCACTGTCTTCTACAAGACATCCCCAAATCACCTAACAATTTAACGCATACATTATTACATTTTACTGGGATGTAACAAATAGAAAGTGTTAACCGATTCAAAAAATCATACCTGATATGCAACTTCATAAACCGCGTTTCCATCATCAGATACCGCGGCGTTATCAAGTAAGTTTATGATCTGAACAATAGCAGAACACAATGAGGATGGAAATAACGACAGGGCTGATTGACCATGATGTTGAGTATTCCTAGGTATCGCCTCAGCCCCATCCTCATCTCCAACATTACCTAAATCCGTAGGTTTTTATATTCGGGGTGTTTCGAATAAAACCAGAAAAAGGACAGCATTTCTAAATGAAAATATTTTATATAAGTTTTATAAAGATACCTTCATCATGATCATCTCCTACTGGGCTAGGTTCGTATGCGGCTTGAACAGTAATTGGGATCGTTGTTATTAAAAAATTTTCTCTTTCCTCTCTCTTTTTATCGTCTTGAGCTTGTAAAGCCCTTTTAATTAACTCAGTCTGTTGTTTCTTTCGAGTTTTTGTTGCCGTCACCAATGATCTCTGTCGTATTAAAAATGTTCATAAAAATTTACTGTTCAATATTCTACTACATTGAACAATATAAATGAACTTACATGACGCTCCTGATTAATGGTAACTTCTTCAACTTTAGTTTTAACTTGAGGCATCCAAGGTGGGTCAACCACTGGTAAAGATTCGATCCCAATTTTCGGAGATGGCAAAGTAAATTCAATTCCAGGTGGTGGAACTTTAAAAGTAACGTGAGCTGCTTCTTCCATTCTTGGCCACACCTGATAACGTAATTTCCACAAAACTTGAAATCTCAAGATGGCATTTATTCGCACCGAGGAATTACTATGTTGAAGACCGTTGTTCATTATTTCGCTGGCTTGATTCGGAGCTCGCACAGCTGCCACTATGAACAGAGATGCTGCCGAAGCAGCTACTTCTTGATTGGACTCTAACAAAAGTTCCCAAGCAATGGGTAGAACGTCCACGAACAAATCCTCGGTCATCACAACTGCACCTTTTACCAGAGTCGCTATAGGAGCGTGGAAAGCATCCTTTACTTGTGTTTTTATGTATTTTAGAATCGCTGGGGTTTCTGCTTCGGAATCGGCTTTTACTTTTAAGATTTTCGACGACTCCTTTCCTTTGTCGGATGAATCTTGTTCCGCCAAATCCTTGGAGGAATCTCTTTGATATAATCGACCTGATTGGGATCCGTCCATGTTCTTGTCAATTCTGAAATTGATTTATATTAATTTTCTTTGGAAATAGGAGAAATATCAAAACTTACTTGTACTTTCGTCCTACGCTATCTTTTCTTCGAACGGGTGATACTTGGGTGCTAGTTTGTTCGGAAACCTTACGGCTTCGTTTATCTTTCTTGCCATCCTCTTTTTTATCGGTATCAACATCGAACATACCTGTGCCGTTCAATATTCCAAATTTCTCGCCGTAAATCTTCTTAACGGATTTGATTAGTCTACTGCTAGCACGCATTTGACGACGATGACAAAACGGATGGCAGAAATTTTGATGGGAGCAATAAAAGTTAAAGGAATTCGATACTTGTACTAGCACCTTCATCCAAGGAAAATTTTTATTGGTCTCATCAGTTTCATTGCTGTCGCTTGGGCTTTCAGGAGGCTGATCATCGCTGAGAATCCCAGGAGATTCTTCACCACTGGCCTCGCCACCTAAACAACCGGGTTCAGAAGTGTCACTTCTGTCGGACAATGAACTTACTTTTCTTTTCGATTGTATAGAATCTGCTCGTTTAACTGTATCTAAGAAAAACATCATAATTGTGAGATATTTTTAAATGAAAAAGAAATTATTGTTGTAGACTTGTTTAAAAAGTTTCCTACATGCTTCGCATTCTGTATCCTTGCCCTCTTTGGTTCCACGTCGAAGTTTTAAGCTTCTCTTTTTGAATGAACCAGTGGTGGTACCGCCAGTACCACGGCGCAATAAAATTGGCCTACTTTGATGTGCCTGTGCCCGTTTACCTTTATCTTTATCAATATTCTGTTCTTCTCCTTGAATCGTAACTGTTGATTTACTGCTTCCTTCTGATTCGTTGTCAGGTTCGTAGAGAACGAAACTGATCTTACGTTCGGCTGTATATTCAGCAAAATCAAATATTTCATTGTGAATAATAACCTTGTTTACTTGCTGTTAATTATACTCGTTTATTTGTTAAACTTACTGGCCATTTCACGATCTCCAGCAATCGATTGAAGACTCTGGGCCGAAGTTTGAGAATGGCCCATCGATGAAAGAGCTACGCTCCATCTTCGATTTGCTTCTCTGCTGTACATTCTGTCCCAAGGAGGTGGACGTTCCTTGGTTAAAAGTTTACTGGATTTTGGTAACGTCTGATAAGTTTCTCTTAGAAAAGCTGTTACTTCCAAAAGAAGAATACACGCAACCAAACGCAATGCTATTGGACACTGCGATCCGTAACAATTAATACTAGCTTCGTCAAGGAAATCCTCTTCTTCGTCTTCGATGATCAAATCACGTTGCTTACTTTCATCAGAAACCATAGAAATGACCTGGTCGATATTTTGTTTATCCTCGATCAATAATTCCTCCAATCTCGCGCCTATTGCCTGTTCCAAAATTATTTCCTGATTTAGTAATACAAATAAATTTGTGTTTTTTTTTCTTTTTAAATATTACTAATGTAATCCCAAAATGAAGAAACCTCTGCCCACTGATAAAATAATTTTCCCGCAGTTCTCTGCAACATATGGATTCGTCTCATAGCAGCCGATGCATTACGATTATTCATCGGAACGGATGGTCGAAAAATAGGAAAGTTAACTTTCATCCACGTCGGCCAATGCCCTTTGTTGCATTGATGCACAAAATGGGCACATTCCAATATCAAACAGGCACGAGAAACCACAGGTGCGTAAGGCTGAAATCGCAAATAATATTGTGTGTGTGTGTGTGTGTAGAATATTATTCCATAGAAAATACAATAGAGTTTAACTTACGAGATCTAATATAGCAGCCATCAAATGATGGTCGGGGAAAGTGCCAGGTTGACATGTTTCCAAAAGGAAAGAAAATCTCAACATTCCATCGTAGATAGACGATAGAGGTACCAATCTTCTTTCTTTAAAAACTACAAATTCGGATTCCCTTGAAGCTTCACCCAGTTCCATGGAATTTCTTCTACTAAAATCTGTTGAAACATTTCAATGGCGTTTATTTCTTCTTTAATGACAAAAGTCATTACAAATAGAACACTTACAGCTACCTGGTGGCTCTTCCAAACTTTCCTTCTTTTTGCTTTTACCAAAACCAATTTTGTTCAATTGATCTTCCATACGACGCCGCGCCTTTTGTAAGGTTTGTCCAACTCTACAAAAATTCTTCTCTTAACAATGATTTTTTGTATAATTTCAAGCCCTTATATGACATCTTTTTAAAGATCCTTACCCACGACTCGTTCGAGAAGTACTTCGGTGATGACCATAATGCAAACTCGGTTGTCTTACAAAACTACCATCCGTTGGTGACTCGCTACTTTCATGACTATCTGTGGAATCAGTTCTTCCGTACTCCTTTCGAAACCAATTGACTAAAAATCGATTTCATTGTTATTCGCAAAATCAACTACAATTGAGCAACAATTAACAACTTACCAATACCCCCAATTTGAAAACGAGTTGATTTTCGTATTTTTCCTGCCATGAAACAAGAATCTCCAATTCCTAAGTTGCGTTCGCTTTGTCTAGGCGTTAATACGTGATGTTTCTTTCGCAAATTACCTAATGGACTCTGACTTATTTTCGAATTCTCTTCGTTCAATTCAGTTTCAAGTAGGCTCTGTAAAAATATTGGCGATGCACGTTAATGGGGACCGCAATTAAATCCTATACCGATGAAATGATAAAATAAGAAACTTACTGCACATGTCGAAGAAGTACTTCTCTTCTTAAATAAAAATTTTCTAGTACCTCTGTCATCGACCGTGAAACAGGTATCACCGCCAATATCCGCGTGCTCTTCCAAATCAGATTGGTGTATGTGTCTGATCACGCGAGTTGTTCGAACTTTGCTGTTGCAACGTTTGTTGGGACGATCGGTTGAATCTAAAATGCCGCTTAAAGCAACACGCCGAAATATGCCACCGTGAGCTTCTTTAACGTAAGTCATGAATTGCCTCAGATCGCAATAAATGGCAATATTCTCGTGGGATCTCCACTCTTTAGCAGTTTGAATAAATCGAGTCACAAGAGTCTTGAAAACACAATTCATTATTTGACCCTCGATGCCACGAGCACCATAATTACCAGTACCATAGGATGCGGTCACTGGTACGATATTAGTTGTTCCTGTACTTGTTGCCCCTGTATGAGACGTAGTATTCGCAGTACCAACGTTGCCACTAACACTGCCTATCATACCAGCACCGAAATTCGTGGCGTAGCCACCTTGGGACGCAACATCCGGTGACTTGTTCGAACCCCGTTTTTGATCTGTTGCAAATTGAAAAACTGATCAACGATTTCCGTAACGATTACATTCTTTTGTTTGGATTTACTCACTCAGCGGAGATAGCAACGAAGTTGGATCTACGCAGAAGCCAACGTACGCGTGAAAAAAGTCTAAAATTTCCGAGATTGGTTGTTCGCGTATCATCGTCCTCAGAAATTTCGAAAATTGTTTGAAACTTGCTCGATGTAATTTTCCTAAAATCGTTTGTCCTTGGGAACGACAGAAATCTGCGTGGGGTCCACGAATTCCGTCGGAACATCCGTGCGGACAACCCAAATGCCTTAGTACTCTGATAGCGCAATTCATTAGAAGATTATGAGCTGTTGATTTATTCTTTCCATTTGAATCGTGTCTAATTTCTTGATCGTTCACTGGAGAATCGTGTTTTCGTAAGGTTTCCGATTTGTCCATTCCCGTGCCGGACCCTAACACGGGGTTTATTAATTATAATTATTAACATTAAATATATTTTTGAAGTTATTTGTTTTATAAAGGTAGAGCCAATAGTTAACAAGAAACCGATTTTTGTTTCGGACCATACACCGTGCAAGCGGAAAAATCAACCGTTTTTAAAGAAAACGAAAGGTAGAAGTTTTACATGCACTTTGATATATCATTTCGTGTCCTGTAAACTTGGCTCTCCCCCTTGTCAGATAAACATGAATCAACAACAGTGTTGCACCTAGATTACTGCCCGTGGTCTCATCGCGAAGACATTGCTTCATCACACCCATGTCCATTAAAAGTTCAACGAGGTTCAGAATACTTTCGCAAACGCGAGCCGTGCAACAAGTATTGTCACGTAATGCAACTGAATTAACAGCCTTCAAAATCAGAGAAAAACTTTGTTACCAACTAGGATACTTAATAATAGAAATGTTACGGTAAATTTATAGAATGCAAAAGGATTTTGATTTATCTACAATATTATAATTATTGTTTGAGAAAAAAAATATCGTTTACCTTGAGAACTACTTGGTAATCGATATCACCCTCTTTAGTGATATAACTACCTGAACCAGGTGCTTCTGGCACTTCGTCACTCATGTAAGTAATATTAGAATCTGTTTGAGATCTGGTAAGGCTCGGTTTCCTTTCGAAATCCAATCTTCCACCGAGTATGCTGATAGCATCTAATTGACTATCGATCGATCCCTTTTATATAAATGATCCATAAAAAGCATTAAATTATTGAAAATCTAATCCAGAATAAATTTAGCAAAACGAATAAAAATCTAATTTATGGTTATTACCTGCATTCGTTTCATGTATTCTGGCGATGGAGTAGGCGTGTGTTCCGTGACGGTAATAATAGGATTTGGTGCGGTGTAAGATTGGCTATAAAACCGACTTTGTTTCCTCTCGATACGAGTGTCACCAATGTACCTACGGGTTGTAATCGATCAGGAATTTATCACCATAGAAATAATTCATATTACCCCATGCCACACTTGCCAAAAAATAGAGCCCTAATCAAGCACTACGTCCTTAATTTACTATCGTGTGCCTCTTGTTCCGCGAAACATGCTGGAGTTTCCTTTGAAATTTTTCTTCTTTTTTTTATTTCATAAAATTTCATAAAATTTGATTACAGGTGTTACCCCAAACTCGATAAATCTCGTAACTTCTCGTCATTTCGGCTACGCTAATCTTGTTGTCGATCGATGTAAAATATTGACGCGAACAAAATTTGATCACATTTTGGATCGAATTTGAAGCAACATCGATGGAATGGTCTAATTGCATGCACTAAAATACAAGAAAATTGTCATTTATTACTCAGAAATAATCCCTTTTTTAAGCAAAGAATTATTAGCACAGCGGTAAATTTATGAAAGCAGAATAATCAATTTGTATTCAAGGAATTAGGTAGCGATTCATTTATTTGCTTATAAAATGGGAGATGATTTTTTGTACACACTGCGCATTTAAGGAATCACTAGAAATCAAAAAGCTTTTACCGTTTGTGTGGTAAATGAATGGTGTGGAACTAAGGATTAATAATCAGGTACATAATCGTGTTCGGTGTGCGAAAAACCTACGGATCGATATCCCTAAACGTATAAAGAGGCGACAGCTATTTAAGAGCACACGATAGTTACAAAGAGAAATAGAAATAGAGAAATAGAAATAGAAAAAGAGATAGAAAAAAGGAAAAAGGATTGGTGATGCATTTTCTCAAATACTAATTGTAAATATTAAAAGTGCCGGTGTGCTAATTGGTGATAGGTAAATCTTATTTTGTGTGACTATGTTTCTGGGGGGGGGGGGGGGGTAACTGTGCGCCCTACCGGAAGCGAAAGCTCGTAAAAGAAGCGTGTGAACCGAACTGCAGTACGGAACTTCCTCCGAGTGACGTTGATGACTTACCCTCCCGCGGTCAGCTCGTTAATCAAGCAGCTGAGCACGAGTTCGGGGGTGAAAGGGCGAACGAGAGAGAGAGAGAAAAGAGACACATACAGAGAAAGACATTACGCACAAGTTTTACGATAGGCTTATCAATATGTAAGCGCTAATTTTATAAAACGTTTGACCGGCATTCAGTCGGTCGTATGATTTCTTCAGCGTTGGGTACAATTTGTTATTTTTTCGTTTTTCCTTTTAAATCATTATAATTAGAACAAGACGTCGCATATTGTTGTTTTTTCCTGCCTTTTGAATTTTGCAAAAAAACAACGATCCAATACCCAACACTGATAGTAGTCTACATGAAAAAAAAATTATTGTCGCTCTAACGAAACGCATTATTGTTTTTAATTGCAAACAGCCTAAGCGCAACGAAAAGTCCTTTATTTTTTTGTCGCCAGGACATTTTCAACTCGAATCTCTGAATATTTTATCCTAGTCTACGCAAAGTTACTGGTGTACATACATACATAGATACATACACATACATTTATACACGCATACATTTAATTCTACAATATTTATAAAATATATATATATATATATATATTGTCGAGAAGTACATGTGAGATAATTGTTAAATAGTACTGGTAAGTACTTATGTATGTATATTGTGTATATAAATATGTATGAACCAATGAGTAAAGTCAAAAGTTAAAGAGAGAAAAAGTCGTATAAAATAGAATAGAAGAAACGAAAATCTATAGTTTTTAGAATCCACGTAAATGGAGAAAAACCTACCTTAAACTTGGCATGCTTTTTCCTTTAACTAAATTAGTCGGATGTTTCATACGATCTACATCCTTAGCCTCAAAGATTTTTGAGCTAGTTGACGTTGGTCTTGTCAATTGGTCATCACCTGTATCGAGACTCCTATGACTATCCTAATAATACAAACAAATTGTTTTCGATATTCCTATAATCTCTTTTTATTAAAAAATGATTTAGAATTACCTGTTCGAATAACATTTTAGCGTCTTCCTGACCAATCTTTTCAAGAGCTTTCTCCGATTTGGATAAAATCTTAGTCTCGACGAAAGCTTTTAGGTCAGCCATCTTCATACGTTTTTTCGTCTTTTCGCTGGCACGTCTCGTATGACTGGACTCTCCCTCGTGACCTTTGCAGGTCAGGCATGGTAATTCTGAAAATGTGCCGAACTCTGTACTGGGAATAGATAAGTTGTTGGAGGGACACTACTACCATCTGCATTTAAGTTTGTTCATATACCCGCCAGCAAAGAGACATCTCGTACTTCTGGTATCTCAATGAAATCTTTCGAAACGTCTTTTTTCTTACTCTCAGGACTCTGATAAATAGAGACCTCGATTTTGGGTATCGGTAAGGAATTGCTACGACGACGAGGCATCTGTTGCACCGAACTGTCCTCGTTTATTCTGCGTAATCTGGAATCAAATTCGCAACAACGAATTCATTACAAATATTTACGCAAGTTTTCATTAAAAAAAAAATGAACAAACCGATGGTATAAAAATTGTAACGCCCAAAATACACCCTCCTCTTGCCATTGAGAAACAAAAAGACATCTGAGAACGGCCACGTCGAGAAACGTTGCTGCCCGAATATCAACTTCGAGAATATGTTCAGCAGTTTGTCCCGAAGTATCGGTTGGCGAATTTTGTTGTTGAGTTGAGGATTTCGAAGTACTTTTCTCCTTCTCCTTTTCCTTTTCCTTTTCCTTTTCCTTTTCCTTTTCCTTTTCTACCTCCTTATCCGTCTTAGCTGGCTTTTCCTCTTTCTCTTTCTCCTTCTCTTTTTCACCACTGCAAATTTATATCGTTTCTTATTTAATCGAAAATTAATTGTTATAATTAAGATGATTATCGTTAAGAATGAACCTTGCTCTTTGAGAAGGTTTCCTGAAATATTGTTTACAAGTGTCCAGTCCGGAAATTGCTGTTACTTTCTCTATCGTAAGCGTTGACTTAGAAGAACCGGTACTTCTACCCATGGCAACGTGAAATATGCTGGTTTCATCCTGCAGCAGTAACAGACAATGCATTGCTCTACATTTGATCTGACAAATTTTCATTGCAAATTCATCAACTCACTGCGAATATGGTTGACACTTCTTTTACTCCATCGATACCTCTATCGGATTCACCTAATGATGATAATCTGAATATAACCTACATATTTACCAACAAAAAAACAATTCAACAAAATGAAATATTTTAATCACCTAGAAGCGAAACGAAAATATTAAGAATTTCTGTTTAGCAGAATTATAATAGAAACGATTTCTTTACCACGTGTTCATCTTCGCCACCTGAACTTTCTTCGGGTATCGTTTCTGGAAACGCAGTATCTTTTGGCGATGATACCCAAGTGCTCTATTAAAAAGCAATATTTTTTTTTTTTTAATTACATTTTTTCAAACATTTTATCAAACATCCAAATAGATTTCGAATTTATTGGCTAAAACTTACTTCCTCGTCTTGTTTTGTTACAGTCTGAGAAACATTCTGAGGAATATTTTGATCGGTCACCGTAGGACCCACTGATTGACTAGGTGGACTTTCGTTGTCTGCAATTAGAACATTATCGTCTTAGTAAAGAAGAAACAAAACTGATGAAAATCATAAAAACTCACTTCCACCGACAAAAACGTCGTCTGGCAATTGATGATGTTGCACAAACTTGAACGATCGATTCCACAATACAGGAGGTTTGATACGACAATGAGTGGTGAAGCAAGCCGTATCGGGATGCCGACATTCGTACAAGGCAGTCCATATCTTCGATCCATTTTCCAATCTCAGATTTGTCTTGAAATCAATGTCTTTTAAATAATTACAGAGAGGAGCAAAAAGATATACGAACAGCTGCAAAAAAGAATCAAAACATCAAGAAAATCAAGATTGTCGAACATGATTCAACACGATGATCCTGTTTTCAAAATCATCGTAGAAACGATTTAAAACAATTGTTTAAGCTCACCGTCATAGTTGGTATCGAGAATAAATATTGAAAAGGATTTGCGGAATCTGATTCAGTTTCGATACACTCCTCAGCCGAATCAAGAAGAATCCAATGAAGGATATAAAGAAGGGTTGTTTCCATTGCGCCAAGACTTTGAAGATCCTTCCTTAAAGAGCAATGATAAGAGCCTTTTTGTGTGAAAAGCGAATGTGCTAGATTGGAAGGCGACTGCATAAAAGAGGAGAAAAGGAAAATATATGAAGATGAAAGGGCTCACCTATTGTGCAAAAGGTTGGCTGTCGCGTGAAGAACGTAAGGTAAAGCGGCTTGAATCAAACGCCAACGTGGCACCGCGCCCAATATCGTGCTCAACGATGGCGGCAGATCATTGTGAAGATTTTGGACCAACACTTTCTCTAAAGACTACGTCAATGTAAAAATAAAACAAAAGAACCCGATCAAGATAAGCTTTTACTCTTTCGATTGAAATTAGAGATATTTGTTTCCATTTTTTCTTGTTTATATTTGAAATATACTGACCGTGCATGCTTCTTTCATCTCCTAATTATTCGTCAGAAGGCAACAAATTAGAGTTAGTATCGAAAATATTAAATATTTCGTTTCAAATGGATTAGAGCTCAACTTACGTGATGACCTGGCACGTGTTGGCAATGCTGCAGGTGGTAGGCCGACGGGAAAAAATCGGATTGTCAAATATTTGATCGAACAATTATTATTGGCTACTTGGTTGATTCTACGAAATGAATTCTACAAAATTCTAATTTGTGAAATCTTTAAACCCAAAATATTACCGTGCAAGATGCTTCATGTACTTTCCCAAGTTTCATTCGTATGAAAGGCCTGTAACGATGCATCTATTTAAGCAATTACTTCGGAACGATCCATTATTTTCTAATTTGCATCGAGAGATGCAAAAGAAAAAAGAAAACATTTCATACCTCAGCTGTCGCCAGAGGAAAATCTGAACGGGAATGGGTAAAGTGTGTTCGTTGAGTATGCCATTGACGGATCGGCGTCTCTCCATATTTTGATTATAATGTAAACCTGTAAAACGTTTATGATTTGCATATCAGAACGTTACGCGGGCTGAGTTCTGCTAATAGAAAATCGATCATCTTCGTTAGCATGACTGCCACACCATTATCACGTGTTTTACGTTTAGTTGTCTCTTTTTATTCCAATTCATTTAACATAAATTCCATTCGATTAATATATATTTTATCATTTAAAGATCTGCGAATAAAATTTATAATAAAACAACCGATGGATAAATTTTGTTACGTACCTAAATTAATATGAAAAATATAAGATGAACATGTTGACGATTAAATAATCATAAATAATCTTCTCGCGCGAAAATCCGTGCTCGTTTAGTCGCAAAATGTTTCCATTAAAACTAATTAAAAATGATTCGCACAAATAAGGAAGAAAGATACGATATAAAGGACATAAGATACGATAGAATGATAGGTGCCGGATGAACCCGGCGCACAAAGTATAAAGATCACGTGTCAGTTTCTCTCGGCCTAGTGACACACTTGCATGATTTTCGTCGACAGGTAGTACCCAGACCGAAGGGTGAATCACACCACGATGCAAGGATCGTGACTAACTGAGTATCGTGGAAGGGACGTTAGCTACGCCGTGGAAACGATGGGAATGTGCGCGCGCGACTCTCGGAAAATCCAATGCGCCGGTCGTTTCATCGATCAGCCCAGGAATCTGCTTGCTGGACCACCCCTACTTTCCTAAGAGGATGGGTGGCTCTACCCACCCTTTCCTACGCTGCATGCTTGTCTCCGTTACCAACTTCATACCAACCCATTTACCCAGGTAGCAACCTTTAATCCTGTCCATATAGTTTATATTCATTCTTTGATATTTTATCCATATGAAAGCAAACCTTTTCCTTAAGAAAATGTTATATTTTTCATTTGAATGCAACCATCTCATTGAATGGAGATTAATCGATCATTATTTGATATCTCAGCATGGTAGGTATTAGGTAATCGTGATATATGCGTATCTCATTTTTTATTTTCTTATCTCAAATCACGCATGTAACATGAAGTTATTAGATAATGAGCGATTGTACACATTTATCGATTTCTATCAACAGCTGATTACCATACATGATACTCAATTGTTAATTATTCCGAACTCGCTGCTTATGATACTTGAACATAGCCGATTTAGATGAAATATACAAGACGACGATCATCAATGGACGTCTCACGATCTGTCAAACGCATAAATTCGATAATAATTTTCCGATCGAGCTAGAATGGCTCAAGACATGGTGGAGACGTTCGCACGAGGATTAATAGACCAGATTGTATTGGAAGCTTTCGATCAAATTAAAATTCAATCCAAGAAAGGTACTACAAAATCTTTGATATCGTGTATTTTTATATATAATTGGTAATAAAAAAAAAAACAATCTTATTCGCGTTAATTTATTTTTCTTAGAAGTGTCATACACTCATATGCAACACAGTGACACATTTATAGATTACAAAGGAAGGGATGAAAAAGAATTGATTGAAAATATAATTCATGATCTACGAGGTGTCCAAATTGGTGACACGTCTTATTTGTTATCATCATCTATGTCAGTTTTGGAACAACGTCAGGTAATAATCGTAAATATATAAATACCATTGATAAAATATTCATTTCCATTGATTTTGATTGAATTTATCGATACAGTCGAGACGTGCTGCGTGTTTTATCGATAACGCGTCTATCGAAAACGCATCGATCAGCGTCGTTGAGATGTCTGACATCCAAGGTCAAGGTGACGTCGAACCAATCGCATTTGATTCCGAATCATCGAAGAAGAAACGAGCTAAATCAACGACCTGTAATAAAGAAACAGATCAACCTGGTGTTAACGATGCCACCAAAGTATCCACCAATTTATTGCATCGAATGATCGAGGAATTGGAGACCGTCACCGAGGAGACCATAACAAATCCTAACGACGCTGACATATACAACGAAAAATCTAAAGAAGACATTGCTGCTTGGGAAGAAAAAGAAGAAAAATTGATTCGAATAATCGAAGATACCGAAGGATCGCACGATAGTATTACCGAGGAATCTAGATCGATTAGACAATTCAATGTGGACGATGATAGAGAAGAATTAAAATCGTCTATGATGATGTCGGGTGCTTCTTCCTCGAGAAATCTTTCATTCGACGAAGTTTACATAGAAGAAAATACGTCAGATTATCAACAAACGCAGCAACAAAGAGTTTCAATCGACGAGGTTGAAGAATCTCATGATTTTTTCGTTGAAACTAAAGATACTGACGAGAAAACCAATTCGAAGAAAAAGAAAAAGAAGAAGAAGAAGAATAAGGAAAGCTTTGGTCAAAGACTGAAAAGATTCTTCCTGAAAAGATTCAAACGTGGCAAGAATTGATAGAATTACTTTTCTTATCTGGGGGGAACAAAAATGCAACTTTTGGTTGCGTTTCTTTATTTTTTTTTTTTTTACGTACACATACACACACACACACGGAGGCATATGTATATCTCTGCTGATAGTATTATTTTGTAACGAAGCGACGCTCAGTACGATCCAACACAGCGTCGATCGGTTGTGTCGAGCAAGTAAAAATAACCGAGCAGTTTGATCATCGCATAGTCCTGCGACAGAATTACTTTTCGAGGCAGGAGATGACAAGGCGTCGCGTTAAAAAAGAAACTCCCCCACCCCTGAAAAATATAGAAATTAAAAAGTGTCTAAACGATTTCTAGAGATTATTTATTATTCTAATTTTTTGGTTTTTTTAAATACCTACATCAATCTCTGTTCTCTTTTTTTTTGTACGAACATTGTATCGTCATTTTCTACGATCATTTTTCTAATACACCCGCACACAAACACACACGCATACAAATCTTCCCCATGAGCATGTAAATAAAATAAATTTGTACAACAATCGTAGAACGCCTGATGTTCTGTAATAGTGAAATAAAAGCTCCGTCTAAAAGTTTAAAATAAAATTCCCGTTAGCTTCCTGTGCATCGAAGGTCATATTGGAATTGGTATAGGTGTATTTTCATTTTGCTGTATTGTTAACGTCTCAACAGCCTACAGATCTGGCAACCCTGACAGAACGTCGAGAATACCGCTGTTGAAAACCATTTATCGTAGTAGGAAGAACATTCGTAGCACAGGGTTCCTCCTCGAACTGTTTTTGGACCGCAACGTTGCCGATGACTCTCTTCTTCGTCAAGATGACTTAGTTTCAGCATGATCTTTCTCGTGTATCCCGATCGTAGCGACATCTGCAGAAATAAAATGAATAAATTTGGTAACACCCGGTACCACTTCTGTTTCTACCTTCGTCTGATCAGCATCATCCCATAGAAGCACCAGATCAATCTACAATGGTGAGCTCGTACTATCTCCCCAATCCGTCGATCATTCTCGATTTTATATTTAACGAATGATTTTTTTGCTTTTTCTTTTTTTATTTGCTTTTTCCCACATAACTCAAATCGTTCTCTCCTGATTTTGCGATAATTGCAAAATTCCAAAACTTCATGAAATGTATTGTTTAATTGGTAATCCATTAACAAACATTTGTGTTTTATTTTGCAGGCAGACCTAAGCTCCAAAGACGTCGAGAGTGAGTAATTCAAGGATTTTAATTAAGGATTTTAAAATATAATTAATCTGTTGGAAAAAAAGATATGTAAACAGAGTTCTTTATCGCGATGAGTAATTTTTGTAATATGACTAAATTAATCGACTTTGTCGTGTAACTTTTGAAAATTCTCTTTAAAATGAAATCGTTGAGCTTACAAAAAATGAGATAAAAATTAGAACAAACAAGCGTTGAACTTTTGCTGGTAAAAAATAATAGAGATTATTCGTTCGAACGTTAACGAAATCGGCGTTAATTTTAGGCTACTCAAAATGAACATTGAGCAATATCCGGATGGTTTTGTTAAAAAGAAAATAAACTTCCGTAATATTGGGCAATATGTCGGGCAAATATCATATCGTTACGTAATCAAGCGTGTGTCAGTAAAGAAGCAAAGCAAAGATCTTCGAATAGAGTATCAAGATGTCAAAAATAGTCGGCAGGGTGTTCTTATATGGTTCGGCGGGGGKAATTTGACCCACTAGTTTAACCAGGGAGTTCTTGAATCGGTTCCTAGGGTGGGGATATATGCTGGTACTTAAAATAGATTCAGACTTTTGAACCTGATACGCGCTTAGTATCTCTTACAGGATGATATTAACCCAAATTTCGTATTTCCCGTTTAGTTTAAGAGAAGACTCGAACATTTATTTCTAAACGGGTGTGCGATACTTTAAAATGTAGCTATCATTATTATTAGTATTTTACTAATTATCTTGAAACATTGCTCTCTATACGTTTAGCAAATAATTTTCTCATATTGAGAATCACATTTGTTTGTTCGCGTTAGGACATTTTATTTGCTAATGAGTTGCACGATTAATCAATCATCTTTCGCCGTTGCATTCGTTACGAAATAGAAGCAGAATTCGCGTTCTCTATCTACGATACCGATGGTACCAACTCCATCGACGCGATCGATCTTGGAAACGTTTTACGAGCCTTGAACCTGAACCCAACAAATGCGACGATTGAAAAACTTGGCGGTACCAAAAAAAAAGGCGAGAAGATAATGAAACTTGACGAGTTCTTGCCGATCTTCAGTCAGTGCAAAAAAGACAAGGAACAGGGTTGTTTCGAAGACTTTGTCGAGTGTCTCAAGCTTTACGACAAGCAAGAAGATGGAACTATGTTAGCCGCCGAATTGTCCCATACGCTACTCACGCTCGGTACGATTCCACCAATTGCTTGTCGATTTCAAATATTTCTTTTTTTTTTTCTTCTTTTAGAATCGTAATTATATATTTATAAATATTGCGATAGGTGAACGCCTTAGTGATGCTGAAGTCGAGACGGTGTTAAAGGATTGCATGGATCCAGAGGACGACGATGGTTTCATCCCTTATACTCGTAAGTAAACAAAAATCTTTGACGTATCAAATTTGAATGCATCTTCCCGATTAGAAAGAGAAAAAAAAAAAAAAGGTAAAATTAGAATACCTGCATCTAATTGTTAGTGAGTCACGTTAGTGTGAAAGTATTTACGTTCAAAGCACGTATAAAGAAAATCCAATTAAATGATTGTCCAACCAATTGTTTTGTTACCCCCAGTATATAACGCCCCCAAATGAAATTTAGAATTGATCTATCAATAGGCAATTAACTTGCCACTCCAAAGCCCCCATAAATGAATGACCCCATTTTCCTTACCACGTAGAACACATAGCCGCACGATTATTTCTAATTAGAATATAGAAGGACAAATCATTTGTAGCGGGAGCCAAAACGTTCGGACAACATGGAAGTATAACGTGATTTGTAAAAGAAACAGCAAAAGAAAAAATCAAAAGAAATCCATCCACCCCAGTTCGGCGGACTCGATCGCCATATGTTGTCCGTCATTTGAAACGTCCATGTTTTATTTGTATTTCACAGCGTTCTTGAAGAAGATGATGGTGCTTTTGTAAGCTGTCCGGATGCCATTGGTACAGTGAGGTCATCGATCGTAAGTGTCCTCGTCTAGTAGACGCGTCCTCGTTTTCTCGCTTCTTCTTCTTCTTCTTCTTCTTCTATCACTTCCTCTTCCTGTTCACACTTCTTCCTCCTACGCTTCTTCGTTTCGTCTATTGTCTCTATCCATCTATTTCTTCGTTTTTTACTTCCTCATGAAAAAACTGTCATCGCTTTTATTTCGCCTTGTCTCGTCACGTACATCAAACAGTTTATAGGACGCGTGTTTGCAGCGCCACAGGGATGCTGAAATCGATAACTCGTTTCTCGCACAAAAACACGTACGAGTACTTCAGGTTTGTAAGTAAGATCAGTGAATCGAGTGTAGTTAATGCTCTAACCCCCATCCCTCTCAGCTCCCTCTCAGTTCCCTCTCTGCTCCCTCCCGTACTCCCTCTCGTACAACAATACCATCGTTTCTGGGCCAAGAAATAAAATATTACCTCGATCGAAATTCAAGCGAAGTGAATTCACACATTGTATGTGTTTCAGAAAGGATTCCTGAATCATCGAGCATTTTCTAACACGATTCACGATTATTCCGAAATAATTGAATACAAGCGAAACGCTTAATTAAATGCATTTCTTTCTTTTAACTCAATCTATCCATGTCTTATTCTTCTTCTTCTTTTTTACATGTGTAATAATTCGTGTGGCTGAAGTAACGCCATATCGCACACGAATTATTTGTCTATGTTTAATCTGTGCTTGTCCTAAACCAAAACAATTTTCATTACTTCAAATTGTGCAACTTTTATATTTTCTTTTAATGCTTACAGTGACGTACGTACACGAATAAGTGAAAATAATATTAATATGTGTAATCGTCTTTGCCAATTGACACGACGGATTGAACAAACATCAATGATTATAAGAATAAAAAAAAAATTAAAGTTGACTAGGGATGTAAATCCTACATGAAGTATTGCAAATCCGTCTTCTCAATTGTGTCATGTAAATTTAAAATAAGATAAAATACTGAAAGATTTATTTGAATATTAAATATGATCCCTTTTCAGCGTTCCTTCGCAGATTGTGCGACAGAGAAGAAGACTAGTGATAAATACCAACAATTTCTTTCTTCGATTCTTCGGCAATGATCTTTCGAAGCCACGAATCAGCGAAGGACGATGCGTTTATCATAATTTCTCATCACGCTCTTCATCCCTTGTTAATTCATCGCTCGGTCGACCCGATCGCACACCTCTTCACATTTCCGTATAAAAATTCATTTGAAAACAAAAAAAACAGGAAAAATGATCAAAAAAAAGATTTTCAAAAAAACAAATATATATATATATATATGTATATATATATATAAGAAAAAAAAGAAGTAACATCACATAAATCCTCAGGATGACCCAGAACAGGAAACGAAGATCAATCGATTATCGAGAAAATATTTAATATATATATATGAAGAATAAGGATAAAAAAAAAAGACAATCGCTGTTTAAATAATTTATACTATAACCTAAAAAGACGCGCATAAACGCGATCTTGCATCTTGGGGTCATGTTTTAACAGATTTGTACAAACTTTAAACGAAACGATCGGTTTTCAGTTACATACTTCGTATTGTTACTTTAATAAACTACATTCCTCGTGACTCGGGGACTGCAAAAAATAAAAGTTTAAATGTAATCCCTGTCACAATGAATCTGTCAGCTATAGCTTAGGCAACAAATGTATATTTATAGCTAATAGCAAATGCTGTTATGGAGGAATCAAATCAGTAATGGCCGCCACCCTCTTATCGTTAGATCCAGAGCATCCTAAGTCTATGACCAATGATATATATATCACTTTTAAAATAAAGGAAAAATAG